TAAGTTTGCAGTGTTCTCAAATGGCGGCAAGATTTCCTGCGTGTCAGGCACCACGACCAATCTGCAATCTCCACAAATGTTATTGGTGCTCAAATTGTAGGTCTGTCCTCACCCATTATCTTCCTTACACCTCTTCATAGTAGAACCATGCATTTTAGTGAGACCATATTTTCCAATGTGGCTCCTACGACATGTATTTTTAGCGAGAATCATATTTTTCCAATGCGGCATAGATCCAGAGGAGTTTGTACTTGTTGCACTAGTGTCTTAGGATGTTGGGTTGCCAAAAGCAGAAACGGTACATATACGGTAGTTGCATGTCATACTTTATACCGTAGGTGTCTTACGGTAACAAGTCCCCCAAGAAAGGTGCCTACACTATTTGTGACCATCCGGAATTTGTTTGGGACACAACATTTTTTTTTTTTTAATATTGTCATAACAACCAAGGGCGACATGAAACCACATAGAGTAAATGCCTGCAATGAGCATCATCCGTGCTCTGTGTAGTGGCCCTTTGCCAACTGCAATCCTCTTTCCCCCCTAAGGGAACACCCTATGGTCAGCACGGGACCCCTGGTCCCCTTCCCCCCATAGGGAACGGCCCTATGGCCAGCACGGGACCCTCGGTCCCCTGCCCCCCGTGGGGAACGGCACTATGGCCAGCACGGGACCCTCGGTCCCCTTCCCCCCATGGGGAACGGCCCTATGGCCAGCACGGGACCCTCGGTCCCCTTCCCCCCATGGGGAACGGCCCTATGGCCAGCACGGGACCCTCGGTCCCCTTCCCCCCATGGGGAACGGCCCTATGGCCAGCACGGGACCCTCGGTCCCCTTCCCCCCATGGGGAACGGCCCTATGGCCAGCACGGGACCCTCGGTCCCCTTCCCCCCATGGGGAACGGCCCTATGGCCAGCACGGGACCCTCGGTCCCCTTCCCCCCATGGGGAACGGCCCTATGGCCAGCACGGGACCCTCGGTCCCCTTCCCCCCATGGGGAACGGCCCTATGGCCAGCACGGGACCCTCGGTCCCCTTCCCCCCATGGGGAACGGCCCTATGGCCAGCACGGGACCCTCGGTCCCCTTCCCCCCATGGGGAACGGCCCTATGGCCAGCACGGGACCCTCGGTCCCCTTCCCCCCATGGGGAACGGCCCTATGGCCAGCACGGGACCCCCGGTCCCCTTCCCCCCATGGGGACGGTCGTGGAGATGCAACGATTGACGATGTGGCCATCATTGCCCGCATTGTCACGACTGATGCCCTCGTGCCGCGTCGGCTGCCTCGCATTCCATTTATTGCGACCAAGAAAATAAACAAGCCGAAGAAACATGAGTTTATGTGTTAAAAAACGGACAACACATACCGGTAGAAGATTATTCAAGAGGTGTGTGTGCCTTGGCAGTTTTGTATATGGTACGCGTCACTACAATTGACGCCCGTCATGTCTGGCGATTACGTCGCCCGAGAAGCTTGTGGCGATTTCGTTGGAGGGCGCCGCCAATTACGACTATCTCGACACCAGGCGCGCCATCGGCGAGCTCGTCGCGAGGCGCGAATGTTGCAATTTCGTCGCTAGGGGCGCGCCTTTGGCGATTTCGTAGCCAGGTGCGTCCGTGGCGATTTCGTCTCCAGGCGCACCAGTGGCGATTTCGTCGCCAGGCGCGTTACTCGCCAATCGCGCCAGCGGCGATCTCGTCCCACGCGCACCAGTGGCACGTTCGCCACTTGCTCTGGGCCCCACTGAGCCCTGTATCGCGCCCCAGAAGTGAAGTCGCGGACGCGACCCCCTTGCCTTTGATGGCGCTGGAACTTCGTTTTAGGAGCTCGATCTAAGAGAGAGGGAGAGAAATAAAATAAAATAAAATAAAAGCATATGTGTATAACATCACCACTCCGAGCCTCTTAATTTTCTGGAGGTAAGCTGTGGAAACTAGTAGGCATGACTGAGGTGAGAACGGGAAAACTAGAACACGACCAGGTAGTTGGTAGTTGGACGAGAATGAAGTGGAACGGAAGTTCCGAAACGAAGACGTGGGTGGAGGCCTAATGGCCTCCAACCCTCGTTATGTACTCGGAATGAAGTTCAGCAGTTGCCTTGCTGCGTTACAGGCAGCTGCGCGTTTACAATATATATTTTTGGAAAGTGTAAACACTTTCAAAAAATTCCATTTTGTGAAATGATAGATTTGAGATTTCTTTTTAAAGATCAAAGACGTGCGTTGTTATTGCAATGGATACGGATGAATGCACACAGCCACAGCACACACACACACAAAGGCACACACACACATACAAACACATATACAAGATCACACACATTCACACAAACGGAAAAAAAAAAACCGTAAATGAAAAAACTCTAAAAACAACAAAACATGCAATACAAAACAATCCTACAGATTACCACTACTATCCACTTCACAAGTAATCTTGGCAGATGTACACATCTGGAACGAAAGCCAGAAGGAAATCTGGAAAAACAAATAGGCACCGAATGAAGGAGAGGGAAAGAAGGAAGAGGGGAGAGAAGAAAAGAATTATCAAAATGTGGAGAAAATTGAAAAGAAAGTAAGTCAAATGAGGAGGATATTATAATAACCAAACAGAATGCAATCTAATGGTGGTAAGGTAAAAAAATGATGAACAACGCTATACGTTAAAAAACAGAACGCAAAAAACAGAGCAAGTAACAAAACAGGAAACAACGATATACCTTAGCTGTGAATTCACAGAGAGAGAACGAGAGAGAGAGAGAGAGAGAGAGAGGAGAGAGAGAGAGAGAGAGAGAGAGAGAGAGAGAGAGAGAGAGAGAGAGAGAGAGAGAGAAAGAGAGAGAGAGAACGAGAGAGAGAGAACGAGAGAGCGCGAGAGAGAAGAGAGAGAGAGAGAGAGAGAGAGAGAGAGAGAGAGAGAGAGAGAGAGAGAGAGAGAGAAAGAGAGAACGGGAGAAAAGAAAGAGAGAAAGAGAGAACGAGAGAGAGAGAGAAAGAGAGAGAAAAAAACGAGAGAGAAAGAGAACGAGAGAGAGAACGAGAGAAAGAGAGAGAGACACAAGAGAGAACACGAGAGAGAGAGAGACGCGAGAGAGAGAGAGAGAACGAGGAGAGAACGAGAGAGAGAGGAACGGAGAGAACGACGAAAGAGAGAGAGGAGAGAGAGAGAGAGAGAGAGAGAGGGAGAGAGAGAGAGAGAGAGAGAGAGAGAGAGAGAGAGAGAGAGAGAGAGAGAGAGAGAGAGAGAGAGAGAGAGAGAGAGAGAGAGAGAGAGAGAGAGAGAGACGAGAACGAGAAAATGTAAAAAAAAGAGTATGCACGAAAACTACGACGAGTATAAACGGAAGAGAAAGGAATAAGGAAAACGGCTACGTTACTGAGCAATGAGGTGGAAATCAAAGTTGAGAAAACGAAATAACGACCAGAAAACCAAAAAGTGTGATAGCTGGAAAACGAAATTGAAGGGAACTATATCGCGACAACTATATACTTGAGCTGACGAAGATGCAATCTAGGGAAAAAACGAACATACCAGTGTGTCTAGGAGAGAAGACAAGCAAGAACTAGCGTCTGCTGCTGGGGAGAGGAAGCAGCTAGAAAAAAAGGGAAGAAATGAAACCCTAGGGAATGCAAACTTCGTCGCATTGATACTTCACGTAAAGTTAAAACGCGCAAACCGATACGGGGCATGTAGCTCAGTCGATATAATGTCAACTAAGATCCGAATGGTTTTAGGTTCGAATCTCTTGGACATCACCTTACCAAGAACTTATTTTAGTGATTGTTTTTCCAATTTGAAAAAGCTTCGCAACCCTACGACGACTTCCGTCGCCTCTTGTTTTTTTTCTGGTCCCTTGACCCCAGTCCTTTTTGTTATTCACCATTCCTTTTCTTCATGTTCGCTGGATTGCAAGCGATGGCCGGACGAGCGGGCCGCGCCAGCAGGGGGTTCCGCAACGAGGGGGGCCCAGCCCCGTAGTTAGCGGTCAGAGCTCAGCTGCCGGTTCAGCTGCCGGTCCGGAAGCCGGACGCGGTCAACCGCAAGTAGTCGGACGAGGGTATGTGATTCGACCTTTAAAAGCGCAAGGGAGAATAGGTTATTCAACATAGAAGCGTGACTCTAGTGGATATCTTATACCAGATAATCACTTAATGCGGATTAGTACCAGAATATAGGTATTAGCATGTCATAAGTAGTAGAAGCTCGTAAGTTACAGGATATCGTAAGTGGTAAACGCATTGACATTATTAAGAATTCTCAAAAGTGATTTTTTTCAAGACTGGGCGGTTGTAGACATTAGCGTATCTTGCAGCCGCTCGGTTGTGGATCATACATTGAGGTTAGCTAAGTTTCCCCGTCCGTGAGTCTTCGTTTCCGTTTCCCGCTGCAGCTAGTTTCGCGATCTGTTCAAGCCAGTTGGTGTGTCTGATCCGTTAGGCTACTCAACCAGCTGTTTTAGAGACTTCGACCTCGCGTAATCCAGCATTCAGGCGTAATCCAGCATTCAGGCGTAATCCGGCATTCAGGCGTAATCCGGCTTTCGGGCGTAATCTGGCATTCGACGTATATCGTGTATGGAGCAGCAGAAAGGGGTAAAATTGGGTTCTCACCATCCTGGGCTGAATGAGATCCCAGAGACGGGTCGAGCAGCAGGGGGAGGGAGACACGAGAGCAGGGCTTCCGGGCCGCGGAGGAATGCAAGCGGCCACTCGCTTCGATCTGACTCGCTCGTTGATGCGCCGCACAAGTCTGCGCCACGGAAGAGTGCAGGCGGTGCCTCTCTTCAATCTGGCGCGCTCGCTGCTGCAGCTGCTGCTTCGTCCAATGCTGCTGCTTCTGCTGCTTCTGCTGCTTCTGCTGCTGCTTCCGTCGCTGGTGTTTCCGGAGTTGCTGCAGATCGAGGGGGAGGAGAGACGGGTGGTTCCGGTGGCGGATTAATCAATGGCGAGGGAGGGGAGGGCGGGGGATCGGGGCATGGGAGGAAGCACAGCAGAGTGTCCACGATGACCCACCTGCTGGATTCCGAGGTGAGGGACGGTTGCGCCGTTGATCACGCGGGAGTGGGAGGACTTGATCGAATGGGACGGTGGGGTGTTTTTTGAAGGGGTGGTTAGGTTGGGGTGATGGATCGCGTGGCATCGTGGCTGCATAAACGGTTCCGAAAATGCTGGCTGAATGTGGAAAATCGTGGAGTAACCAGGGAGTTATATTTCTAGTTCTTTCTGACAGAAGACTGTGAGTTGACTTCTAAGTTGTCTACGCGCCCCCTTGTTCAAGAGCTCGCTCAGTAGGAAAAGTTTGGAATTACTCAAAAGTCATGTGCTTCGTTCCATAATTCGCCTTCCATCCTCCCCGTCCACCACCCACCCCTTTTCCGTTCCCCCAGCTGCTCCAGCTAGAGGAGGACATGGCTCAGCAGCTGGGTGGGCAGGAGTTGTTTGAAGTTGCTCAAAACTCGTGTGCTTCGTTGCTTGGTTCGCCTTTCTTCGCCTCCCCTGCCTGCTTGCTCTCCTGCAGCTGCTCCAGCTAGAGGAGGACATGGCGCGGGAGGTGGCTCGGCAGGAGAAGCTGGCAGACGTGATTGCCATTGCTGGGGGCGACATGCCGCAGCTGCCCGTGCAGGTGGGTAGCTGGGTGGGTGCGGTGCAGCGCAGGTGATTGCTCTTTGCGGCTAGAATTGACTCGCGTATGCTCACTCACTTCTACTGGAGAGAATTTGCGTAAGCTCTGTTGAGGGAACGTCTGGGTATCTGACATCTGTATGCGGAGTGGTTCATATTACCTCTTTTACTCACACACGCCCTCGTATTGCACACCCCCACCCGCAGGAGCTAGAGGAGGAGGAGCGGCAGCAGCACGGGAGGTGACATGTGTGTGGAACGCACATTCTTCTCCATACCATTACGGTGACCTTCCTCCCTCCTTGCACTCTCGCGGGAGCTAGAGGACAAGGAAGAGCAGCAGCTGCATGGCGAAGTGACGCATGTCACCTTCTAGCACCTATAACCCTTCTCCCCACCCCTTTCCCGTTCCCCCCGCCCCCACCACACCTCCAGGAGCTAGAGGACAAGGAGGAGAGGCAGCTGCACCGCGAGGTGACGCACATGGGCGGCGAGCTGCGGTCGATGCGGCGGGTGCTGCTGGATCTGAGTGTGGAGCGGTGCAATGTGGAGCGGGCACTGGAGCACGCGCACTGGCAGGTGGACTCGTTCGACGCCGTCAAGGCCATGCACAGCACGCAGTTCCACCTGTGAGTCGCCACCGCACCTGTGAGTCACCAAGGCACCTGTGCGGTGCCGTGGGTGCTGCTGCTGAGGGTATTGCGTCACAGCAGGTGAACTTGGAGTTGGCTGAAAGCACATCAAAAGGCTTGGCACGCAGTTCCAGCAGTGAGTGAGTGCTGCAGCAGAGAGCTGTTTTCTGACTTGCTTTGTCTTAGACTTGGAGAGATGGTTGGGTCGACATTGTGCTTATTGGACGCCGACAAGACAAGGTCATGCACAGGCAGTGGCAGTTCCACCTGGGAGCCGCCAACACACTTGTCTGTGAGCGCCAACACACTAAATCAAGTTGAGACTTGAACAATCTGTAGATTTGAAAGTGGACTGGTTGGGCGTTGCCAACACACCTGTGGGTGATGTGGCAAATGCATCTCGTGAGGTGGTTTAGACAGGTGTCCCCTAACCCCTTTTCCTCCCACCCCTTTTCTCCCACCCCTTTTCTCCCACCCCTTCTCCCACCCCTTTTCTCCCACCCCTTTTCTCCCACTCCTCTTCTCCCACCCCTCTTCTCCCACCCCTCTTCTTCCACCCCTCTTCTCCCGCCCCTCTTCTCCCGCCCCTCTTCTCCCACCCCTCTTTTCTTACGCCTCTTTCCCTCGCTGCACCACGGCAGCTTGCAGCTGATGGCGCAGACAGAGGTGCTAAAGGACCTGGTGCAGATGGAGAGGGAGGAGAACGAGCACGTGGAGAGCTTTGTGCGCCTGGCCCTCGCGGACCTGGAGGCCAGCGGCCCCAACAGCTTCCTGCTCGAAGCGTCCTCCGTGGACCTGCTGGAAACCCTCACCGCCTGCTACATCAACCAGGGCTCTGGCTTCACTCCGCTGTCTGCTGCTGGTGGTGGTGGTGTGGGTTTTGGTGGCGCTAGTGCGGGTGGGGAAGGGGGGTTGTGGGGGAGCGGGAGGAGGAGCCGGCGGGAGCAGGTGGTGCAGGGCGGGGAGTGGGGGATGGGCGCAGGAGAGGGGGGTTTTGGGGGGGGTGGAGAGGAGGGAGGGGAATTTGGGGAGGGTGAGGGGGGTGGAAGGGGTTTATGGGAAGGACTACCCACAGGCTTACCAGGGTATGGGGATGGGGAGGATGAGGATGAGTATGAAGGGGAGGGGGAGAGGGAGAAGGGCCGACATGGGAGTGCGCATGGCGGGAGGCACAACGGGGATGCCAGTATCACAGTGGGGTCTAGAGGGATGGGCAGTGGTAGGCGGAGCAGCAGCAGCGCCAGCAGGAGAGTGGCTCGCTCTCACAGTACCAACTCCCCTGGCTTCCCAGGGGGCAGCAGGGACGGGCACACGGACCTGGGGTCAGGGTTTGAGGGCGAGGGGGAGGGCTCTTCTGGGGGAGGTAGTCCTGTTGCTGGTGTGGGGGGTGCAGGGGCACAGGGAGCGAGAGCGGGTTTGCCTCTGGGGGTGTCTGAGCGGGTTCGCACTCGCAGTCTGCGTCGCCACCGCAGCAGGCACTCAGAGGATGGCTTCGAACCCAGCCGTCTGGGTGGCAGCCCTGGGCGCTACAGTCCAGGGCATGCCGCTCTTGAGCACGCGGGGAGCGGCTCGCCACCCATGGCGTCACACTCACCGCCCATTGTTTCTCGCTCGTTCACCCACCATGGGGGTGCGGCTAGCAAGCTTTCGCAGGCAGGAGCAGGTGGAATGGCAGGTGGGGGGTATGGTGATGAGGAGGACGACGATGGGTCGGTGGGGAGTGAGGAGGACGAGGAGTACGCTCGTCTCATGGGGCTCGGAGGCTCGGAAATGCGTCTGCAGGACCCGCAGCAGCAGCAGCAGAAGCAGCAGGCGCTGGTTCGGCGGTCAGCCACGGCGCCAATCAAGTCACTCAGGTCTGGAGCGTCCCCGGGCCTGGCGGGAGGCTCGGGAAGCATGCACGAACGGGAGGTGCGGAAGAGTGGTTCGGATGAGGCGGAGGAAGTGGGGAGGGGGAGGAGGGCAGTGAGGGGGCAAACGGTGCTGCCTGTGATGTCTCGATTGCTGGACCCGGATGGGATACTGCAGCCACACGAGAGTCATTTGGGGGACTCGTCCCTCACTGCTTCTCCTGCTCGATCAGAAGACTCAACTCTGGATCCAATGACCCAGGTCAGTCCTTTGATAGATTCAATGGCCCAGATTGACCGAGCCTTCCTTCTTGTGCCCTTTTCCTCTTCTGTTCCCTGATGCTAGTTTCTTAGTTTCTTCAATGCAAAGGCAACTGCCTTCATGCCTCTCCAGCACCCCCCTTCCAAAAACCTTTGTTTGTGTTCCACCGTTGAAATCATTGCCACTGTTCCTTCCATCCCTCCACGTCCCTTCGTTCTTCCTCCACCCCTTTTATTTCCTTCTCCACCCATCCCAACCCCATCCAACCGTGTAGCTCCCTGGTCTCACCCCCAGCATGCTCTGCGCAAGCCGCAGCCCCGACCGCCCCCGTCCCGCCCCCCGCTCCCGTCCGCCTATCAGCAAGTTCTCCTCCTCCCCCAGTTCCGCCCTTAACACTGCTGCTGCCCCAGTCATTCCGAGTTCTGCCCCAACCAATAGCAGCATTGCTGGTCCGGGGGGTGATCGCCCCCCTGCTGCAGCTGCAGCTGCGGCAGTGAAACCAACAGCAGCAGGAGCAGGAGCAGGGGCAGGAGCAGGAGCAGGAGCAGGAGCAGGAGCAGGAGCAGGAGCAGGAGCAGGAGCAGGAGCAGGAGCAGGAGCAGGAGCAGGAGCAGGAGCAGGAGCAGGAGCAGGAGCAGGAGCAGGAGCAGGGGCAGGAGCAGGAGCAGGGGCAGGAGCAGGAGCAGGGGCAGGAGCAGGGGCAGGAGCAGGGGGCAGCAGGGCCGCACCCATCAATGGAGGCAACCCCCAGTGCTATTGCCCGAACCCGCTCTGCTGGATCTGACTTCCTCGAGCGAGGCTCGGCCGGGGCTGCCGGTCCGGTAGCTGGGTTGCTTAAGCCAGTGAGGTCTAGGGAGAGATCTCGCAGCGGCAGTGGGGGCAGGGGGGAAGGGGGCGGCGGCGGGGGCAGCAGGGGTGGGTCGTGGGGATCTGCAGGGTCACTGGGAGAGCTTGTGGGGGAGGAGGACTTAGAAGCGTTCATGGATTATGAGAGCCAAGGTGGGTCCGGTTCCGATGTGCGCAGGCGCACACGGGCGGGGAGAGGTGGGATGGCTGCAGGAGGAGGGGGGGGAGGAGGAGAGAGTGGGAGTGGAGGGAGGGAGGGCGGTGGGGGAAGGGAGAGGTCTCTTGGGGACATTTTAGAGTCGGTGGTGTCGTCGAGTGAGGCTGAGATGGCGGATAAGCGCCGGGACAGGTGGCGCCGATCCAAGGACAAGATCCTACGGTCGAAATCGCGCAAGGGCGATAAGGCTGGAGCGGCTGCTGCTGCTGCTGGTGCTGCTGGTCGGGGTGGGGGCGGCACTGGTGGGGCTGGCAGTGCTGCTGGTGCTGGGAGTGGCGGCGGGTTTAGAGGCAGGAGAGAGAAGGCGCACGGATTCGGTTCAGATGCCACTTTTGCTGAGGAATTTGAGGAGGCTGAGACAGGGGATGGAGGGGCGGGGGGCATGCATGCGAGCAAGCTGTCTGTGGCGTCAGTGGATTCTCTCAGTCGCTGGAATTCCGTTCCCGCCGTCTCTGACGATTGGGTCGACTCTATAACCGCTTCTGCTCCTCCTGCTGCTGCCGAGCGAGGAGATCAGCAGTGGGAGGTGGAGGGTGAGGGCGCCAGCACAGGCATAGCAGCAGCAGCAGGGGCTGCAGCAGAGGGAACAGCGGAGGGTGCGGCAGAGGCAAGTGCAGGAGAGCTGGCAAGCGTGGAATCTGCCCCGGCCTTGTTTGTGGGCTTTCAGGCAGGGAAGGACAGCACCGCCAACCCTGACAGCAACCAATCTGCGTCTGCTTCCCCACCATCAGCAGCCGTACCAGCCGCAACAGGAGCAGCAACAGGAGGAGGAGGGGGAGGGGGAGGTGCAGCAGGAGGCGGGGAGCCAGGCCTGCCACCAGCAGTGACTCGCACGCGGTCAGCAGAGGTGGCAAGGGGCGCGGCAGCAGGGCACAGGAGCGCGCGGAGTATCTCCGACATGCCCCCTCGCCCTCGTTCTGTCTCCATTGCTGACGACTCTGCTGCCAGCTATGGCGGCTCTGGTGCTGCCTCTGGGGCTGCGTCTTTGGCTGTCGGGAGTGCGGCTGCGGCTGCTGCTGGTGGTGCTGGTGCTGGTGGGGGTGCTGCAGGTGGTGGCATGAAGTCGAGTGGCTTAAGGAAGGCGTTGGCCAAATCCATATCGCAGAAGCTTGCTCGCAACAAGGTGGGTGTTGTTCTGCCTCCCTTTTGTTCACTTCGCTCTGGGGGTTGGGAAACAAAACAGTGGACAGACATCTCCAATAGCTTTGTCCTCTCAAACCAACAACCACCAACCGTCTCACTGTCTCTCCCCCTGCTTCTCTCCCTGCCTCTTTGCTTCCCTCCCCACCACCTTTTACCCTCCCTCTCCCTCTCGCTCTCGCTTGCCCTCTCCCTCTCCCTCTCCATCTCCCTCCCTATTCCTCTCATCTCCCTCTTCCTCTCCCCCTCTTCCCCCCTCGCCCTCTGCCCCCACAGACCCGCACCCCCTCGCGCAACACCACCACCGCCTCCTCCACTCCTCTCACGCTCGAGCTAGAGGACCTGCGCCTGCGCCCGTGCGAGCTCTCAGAGGAGATGCTGCGATCCATAGGCGCCATCTACCTCGCGCACGCCTACCCCGCCCTCTGGGGCGCCGGGGAAGGCCGCAGGGCCGCCGCGCTGCTTGCCTCCGAGCAGAAACGAGTGGCCACAGATGAGAAGATCGAGAAGATCCTCAATCCGACGGCTCTCGAGGTGCTGGCGGTTTCGTCCCGTAGCAGCCCGGGCGGGAAGAAGGCGGGTGGCGGGACGAGGACGAGGAAGAAGTCGGAGGATCCGTGGGAGGTGGTGGCGGCTGCACTGGGGAGTGTGGGGCCGGGGGGAGCAGGGGGAGGTGAATCTGGTGCAGGTGGCATCTGCCTGTCCCCGCAGCCAATCAGTGCGTCTGGTTCAGGGTCGAGTCAGGGGGGGGAGGCAGGAGGGGGTGGGAGCCCACAGTATCACTCCCAGCAGCAGCAGCAGCAGCAGCACCAGCAGCCGAGCCCTCTCTCTCCTGGTAGCAATGCCACAACCCCTTCAGCATCATCAACAGCAGCTGCAGCAGCTGCTGCAGGTTCATCGCTCACCACCTCTCCTTCTGTCACTTCCTCGCCCTCGTCCTTCTCCTCCCTCCCCTCGTCTTCCTCCCTCGCCTCTGTCGCTTCTCTACCCTCCTCCTCCTACTCCAGCATCCGCAAGGGCGAGGCAGGGTCACGCTCCCGAAGGGCGTCCGGGTCAGCAGCAGTGCCTGCCACTCCGCGCACCGCCTGGCTCCGTGCCTCCCTGGCTGTCTTCCAGAACGCGGACAAGGGCGCAGGGGGAGGGGCGGGAGGGGGAGGAGGGTGGGTGGCAGGCGGTGGTGAGGTGGGAGGGAGTGGGAGTGAGCAGATGGGGGAGCTGGGGGGGATAGCTGGGAGTGGGGCTGTGGCCGCTGGGTTGCAGCATCCTGCCACAAGGAGCAATAGTTATGGGAGTGCGAGTGGGTTTGGCAGCAGTGGCAGCTTGAGAAGCAGCAGCAGTGGGAATGGTGGTGCTATTTCTGGTGCTGGTGGCGCCGGTGGTGGGGGCGCTGGTGCTGGTGATGCTGCTGGTGCGGCTGGTGCTCTGTTCAGTTCAGCAGACCCTTCCGCTGCACATGCAAGCACTGACCGCCCTTCCCGCGCCATCACTCGAACCTCCTCCACCCCTGTCCTCCATACAGCCTCCCCCATCACCACGCCAGCAGCAGGCAACACATCAGCAGCACCCAATTCAACCCCTCCGTCTTCCTCCCCACTCCCTGCCGCGCCGTCAGCGGCCATAGGAGGGGGCATAGCGGTGGGGAGTGCGGCGCTGGCAGTGGAGGGGTTTGTGGACCCGTATGGCGTGCTGGAGTTCCACCCGTGCCCGCCTGTGGGGGCGTATGGCGCCGCCATGGAGGTCACGTCTGTGCCCAGCGATGATAAGTACAGCAACGTGGATATCTTCTCGCTCTGCCGCTACAGGTGCCTGCCTGCTCTGCTGCTCCCCTTCCCAGCTGCAGATTGTGTGTCTTGCTTACCCCTCTCCCCTCCCCATTCCTCTCCCACCACTCCCCGTGCTCCCTATGCTCCGTTCTGCCCTTCTCCTCCCCTTTCCTGCTCCCCTTCCGTTCCGCCTCCTCCCTTCTATTCCCCGCTCTTCTCCTCCCTCATCCCGCTCACCTTGCCTGCACACCTCAGGGTGCTAGCTGCGCAGATATGGTGTCCGGCCCCCTGATCATGACATCCCAGGCCCACTCCCTCACATGCCCACTCCCTCACATGCCCACTCCCTCACATGCCCACTCCCTCACATGCCCACTCCCTCACATGCCCACTCCCTCACATGCCCACTCCCTCACATGCCCACTCCCTCACATGCCCACTCCCTCACATGCCCACTCCCTCACATGCCCACTCCCTCACATGCCCACTCCCTCACATGCCCACTCCCTCACATGCCCACTCCCTCACATGCCCACTCCCTCTCATGCCCACTCCCTCACATGCCCACTCCCTCACATGCCCACTCCCTCACATGCCCACTCCCTCACATGCCCACTCCCTCACATGCCCACTCCCTCACATGCCCACTCCCTCACATGCCCACTCCCTCACATGCCCACTCCCTCACATGCCCACTCCCTCACATGCCCACTCCCTCACATGCCCACTCCCTCACATGCCCACTCCCTCACATGCCCACTCCCTCACATGCCCACTCCCTCACCATGCCCACTCCCTCACATGCCCACTCCCTCACATGCCCACTCCCTCACCATGCCCACTCCCTCACATGCCCACTCCCTCACATGCCCACTCCCTCACATGCCCACTCCCTCACATGCCCACTCACTCACATGCCCACTCCCTCACATGCCCACTCCCTCACATGCCCACTCCCTCACATGCCCACTCCCTCACATGCCCACTCACTCACATGCCCACTCCCTCACATGCCCACTCCCTCACATGCCCACTCCCTCACATGCCCACTCCCTCATCATGCCCACTCCCTCACCATGCCCACGCCCTAACCCTGCGCCTCCTGCGTCCCCCCGCGCAACCCAGGATGCTAGCGGAGCAGCTATCGGATCTGGATCCCTCATACCTCTCCGAGGACGAGAAGCTCGCCTTCTGGCTCAACCTCTACAACGCGCTGCTGCTGCACGTACGCCACACCCCAACCTCAGGACGCGTCACAAGTGAAACACCGATCCTGCACAAGATCGGTGTTTCGCATTCGCGACGTCGTTAAGTGCTGGTTACCTGTCTTCGTCATCCGTCGCCAATGTACAGTTGTCCCCTTGGAGTCGGGCGATCGGTGTGCCCTTGTCACATATCGATCGTGCAATTTCGTCCACATCGGGCAATTTTGCCCCATGATTTTCCGACCGTGTCACTTGGGACTTGCGGTGGTCCTGCGATTGCAAAAATTCAGTCGAGGCACACCGATGTGGCGATCGATTTGGCAGGATCGGTGAACCCCCCGATCCTTCCTCGGTATTTCAAATGTGACGCGTCCTCAGTCTGTTGCGCTGCACACTGCCATTTCCTCCCCACGTCCCTTTCTCACTCTCCCTCGCCTTTTGCCTCAACATCTACAGCGCGCTGCTGCTGCATGTAAGGAACATCATAGCCTCCAACCCATGGAATCCAGTGCATGTGACTGCATTGCCTTCTCTCTCTTCCCCTTCCTTGCTTTCTGCCTCAACTTCTACAACGCGCTGCCGCTGCATGTAAGCAAACCACACCCCCAACCCAACCCCTCAACTGTGCTGCATGTGACCGCGTTGTGTTTTCCTCTTTCCCCCTCTCACACAACCTCAACAGTGTGCTGCTGCTGCTGTGCTGTACCCAGTCTCCACACCTGCCACACTTCAAACGTCAACTTCTCATTTGCCGCTCATGAGCAACCCTAGTCTCGACCCCCTTTCACCTGCGTTGTCCAATCTCCTCACCCCTTCCCGCCCCTTCACGCCAGTCCTTCCTGATCAACGGCTACCCCACAACACACGCAAAGCGCATCTCCATGCTCACTCAGGTACCCCATTCATTTGAGATGATCATGTAGTTCCCAAACAAGCACCTCGAATGCCATTCATTTAAGATGAATTTTAAGTCTCTTCAACAGTCATATCTTCATGCGTAGTCATTAATCTATATCATGCGGGTACTAAGCACCACGGCATCTCTTGTTCATTACCTTGTATGGATGTCCCTCATGCCTTCCTCGTGCCATCCCGCTCCTCCCTCCGCTGCTTGGCCTGTCCTACCGCAGGCCACATTCATTATCGGCAACCTGCCTATCAACGCCCTGGAGATAGAATTCGCTGTGCTCCGAGCACCCACCTACCGCTCCTCTCTGGTACACGCTGCTCCTTCTCCCCCCTCCACGTCTGGTGCACGCCCCTCCCCTCACCTGTGTACGCTGATCTTTGTTCGCACACCTTGTTGCATATTGTGATACCCTCTCTCCGTTCAGCCGTAATTTTCAAGAGAGTATATCTGGCTCCTATTCTGCTTTCTCCCCAAACCCTCCTGTTTTGATTCAACTCAAAACACGCCCCTGTTTTGAGTCGACTCAAATCAAGAGAGTATATCAGGCTCCTTGTCCTTCTTTTTCCTCCGACCGCCCCCCGCATCGTCCTCCAACTATCCCCCTACGCCCATACCTTTCTGGTACGGAAACAGTTAGTAAAGCACGCTTCCCTCGTTTTCCTCGTCACTGGCAGCCAAGCCAGGGCCTACAAGGCCCGCTGCCGCGCCCAGAGCGAATTTAATGCTGGATGGGCACAGGCGCTTCCATCGGGTTCCAAATCACCCTCAACCACGCCCATGCCTCTCCTTCTCTCCACCCTCAACCACACCCATGCCTCTCCTTCTCTCCACCCTCAACCACACCCATGTCCCTCTCTCTCGTCTCCACGGCTCTCCCGTGACAGGCCAAGGCCCTAAAGAGCCGTCCCTTCGCATATGACGACCCCAGGGTGGGTTGGGCGCTCACAGTGGGGGAACCCAACGTATCCTTCGCTCTCTGCCCCGGAAGCTTCTGCGCACCTGCCGTGAGCTCCTCTCCGCTCCATCCCCTCCCAGCCCAGAGCGTTTGTTCCTGTTTCCAGACCTGCTCTTGTTTCCAGACCTGCTCTTGTTTCCAGACCTGCTCTTGTTTCCAGACCTGCTCTTGTTTCCAGACCTGCTCTTGTTTCCAGACCTGCTCTTGTTTCCAGACCTGCTCTTGTTTCCAGACCTGCTCTTGTTTCCAGACCTGCTCTTGTTTCCAGACCTGCTCTTGTTTCCAGACCTGCTCTTGTTTCCAGACCTGCTCTTGTTTCCAGACCTGCTCTTGTTTCCAGACCTGCTCTTGTTTCCAGACCTGCTCTTGTTTCCAGACCTGCTCTTGTTTCCAGACCTGCTCTTGTTTCCAGACCTGCTCTTGTTTCCAGACCTGCTCTTGTTTCCAGACCTGCTCTTGTTTCCAGACCTGCTCTTGTTTCCAGACCTGCTCTTGTTTCCAGACCTGCTCTTGTTTCCAGACCTGCTCTTGTTTCCAGACCTGCTCTTGTTTCCAGACCTGCTCTTGTTTCCAGACCTGCTCTTGTTTCCAGACCTGCTCTTGTTTCCAGACCTGCTCTTGTTTCCAGACCTGCTCTTGTTTCCAGACCTGCTCTTGTTTCCAGACCTGCTCTTGTTTCCAGACCTGCTCTTGTTTCCAGACCTGCTCTTGTTTCCAGACCTGCTCTTGTTTCCAGACCTGCTCTTGTTTCCAGACCTGCTCTTGTTTCCAGACCTGCTCTTGTTTCCAGACCTGCTCTTGTTTCCAGACCTGCTCTTGTTTCCAGACCTGCTCTTGTTTCCAGACCTGCTCTTGTTTCCAGACCTGCTCTTGTTTCCAGACCTGCTCTTGTTTCCAGACCTGCTCTTGTTTCCAGACCTGCTCTTGTTTCCAGACCTGCTCTTGTTTCCAGACCTGCTCTTGTTTCCAGACCTGCTCTTGTTTCCAGACCTGCTCTTGTTTCCAGACCTGCTCTTGTTTCCAGACCTGCTCTTGTTTCCAGACCTGCTCTTGTTTCCAGACCTGCTCTTGTTTCCAGACCTGCTCTTGTTTCCAGACCTGCTCTTGTTTCCAGACCTGCTCTTGTTTCCAGACCTGATCTTGTTTCCAGACCTGCTCCTGTTTCTAGACCTGCTCCTGTTTCCAGACCTGCTCCTGTTGCCAGACCTGCTCCTGTTTCCAGACCTGCTCCTGTTTCCAGACCTGCTCCTGTTTCCAGACCTGCTCCTGTTTGCTCCTGTTTCCGGACCTGCCCTTGCTGCTGCCCCTGCTGTATGGGCGCTTGCACTGACCCTACGACCTCTACATGTCACATCCACGTGCATGCATGCATCCCGTGTCCCTCCCAGCTACGGGTGTACTCGGCTCGCACTGTGCATGCCGAGCTAGAGGAGGCCAAGGATAACTTCCTGGAAGTTGCCATAGGCATGAGCCGTGATGACCGAATCATTCTTCCCAAGATTCTTGACTGGTGGGTGCTGCTACCATTCACGTTCCTTATGGTGGAAAGCTGCTACCATTCACATTCACATTCCCTATGGTCTTGCCAGTTTTTAGACCAAACGGGTATTTCAGAACCCACATTCGAAGCTTCAAGCCTCACATTCTTATTCTACCTTCACACATTGCTTGCTGGATATCCTTGTCCCGACTCCCATTCAGGTATTGCCCTGACTTCACGGATTCACTGCCTGCTCTGCTAGAGTGGGCCCTGAACCAATTGCCGCCTGCCCCACGTGTTGCCATTGCCAAACGGATGGCTCAGAAGCGGAACCCAACCATTGAACAGTGCGTTGAAGTGGCTTCATATGACTGGTCGTTCCGATATTTATTGGACCCACGGTCTCTCACGATTGGAACTGATGCGTTATAGACAGGGTCCTCTCTAGGATTCGATTCGAACCCCCTTGATGCATCGTCTGATACGTACATCAGAAGTTTGGACGTCTTATGAATCAGATACCGGTAATTGAACATTCATGTCTTATGAATCAAATATTTGAAGAATTCCTGCCTTATGAAGTGCGTGTGCTTAGGTTGAAGCTGCTGTGCTTTAAGTCCAATATTGTACAGTTTCCATGAATGCATTAAATCCATCAATATAGCATAGGTAGGCAAAGTTCTTGTCACTATCTATGGCAAGCACATCTATATCATCATCATCATCATCCTCACTATCACTCAGGGTTTAGGTCATGAGCACTGTTTGGGTCATCCGCAATTATCGCGTGACCCAAACCTACACGTCAAGGCGCACGCGGTCCGAACCATGGCTACTTTTATCGGGGTAAATCACCCTGATACCCAAGCAGGGTGGTTTTTGGCTGTCACACTGATGCCTTAGGGTTGTTAATTCAAGAGCTTGTATTTTCCTGATAGGCCAGGGTTTACGTTTAAGGTACACTGACGGCCCAGGGTTACCAATCTTCGTAACGAGTTTTACCCTGAATCGAGTACATACCCTCCCCAAGCCCCCCGTCCCCCCCTCTACCCCACCCCCTTTTCCCGTAACCCGAGGTTCTCGCGTGCCAATTGTCGAAACTGAAATTTGGCAAAGACAATATCTGAGCTGGCACGAAGGGGGGCCTCCATTGGCCAGAAATACAGTTTCGTTATTGCCTGCCAACAATAATATCAATACACCAGGGTTAGCAAAACTGGTATACTGATCCTACAGGGTAAATTTTTCAAAAACTATGAAAACTTTGATAGATCAGGGTTTGAACAAGGTGTCACACTGATAATCAGGTTTTTGGACTTGTGCAACACTGATCACAAGGGTTGCTGAAAACCAAAAGTTAGCCCTGGTCCGAACTCCGGGTCATCCTTCAAACTGCATGCGACCGTCATACAAAATATGCCCCCCACCAATCGCATTGTACAGCGAACCCATGTTACCGTATTACCCCGGATTAAAGCGCACCTGCGCTTATAATAAAACAGAGTTTTTCAGGGGGGTGCGCTTCTAATTGAGTTATTTATATAAGCGCATGCGCTTATATAATGACATATACAGTTAGCATCAAAATGTACAGCTCACTCGTAATATTCCAATCGAGGCAAAACTTTATAGCGACAGAAATCAGAATCGAGCGCTACCGACTCTTTGCCAACACACAGGGGCACCAGGGCTCTCGTTAGCAGACTGAATTAGTATGTTGGTCTAGGTTTCAGGCACGAACTGTATAGTTCATATGTTGCGCAGACTTTGGCTCAGGGGCCATATGAGAGCCCAGACAAATGCTGTATCTTTATATGTTCTTTTCAGAGACTTATAACAATTCGTCTGATCAAGTAGAAATCGCGTATTGTTTCATCTAAAAGAGAAAAATGGCCCAGTTGGCCATTGGAGCAGCGATGTGTTGCATGTGTGATCACGCGTAATGATTTTTGCGTGTGGGCACGGGGGTCAATTTTGGATTCTTCCGCCAGCGCATTCCGCATCGACTCAGTTTCTGCCACGCATCTGGCGGGTAGCTGTTGTCGGCGCCGCTGCCAGGCCGTTTCCCCCTCCCTCGCTGGCAGAGTGCAAGGACAGTCGGTGCACAGCAAACAAAGCATGCACTCGCCATTGCACTTTCGTGAAGCTCTCGTCAGAGAGGTGCGGTTCGTGACAAGATGGTCCTTACCCATCCTTTCTTCTCCAAGCCTTTCTTTGACAACCTTGCTCTCTCCCTTTTAATCCGTGCCGTAACACCTTGTCAACGGAAGTTGTTGTCTGGCCCCGTCCTCGCTTGGGCGGAGCCGACTTTGTGGTCGGGTGTAGGGGTGCAGCCGACCTGCAGCAGTGGGCGGGCTGGTCGACGTGGTTGGTCGACCTGCACGGGGAGCCACTGCATGGGCGCCGACTTCGGGAGGGCGCCAACTTCGGGTGGTCGACCCGGGGAGTCGACCAGCCCTTCTGGTCGACCAGGGACGTCGACCAGGCCTTCTGGTCGACCAGGAGTGACGTCGACTTGGAGCTGGTCGACCAGGGGATAGTGGTCGACCTGGGGAGGTCGACTGGAGGTGGTCGTCGACTTGGGAGGTCGACCGGCACGTACCAGAGGCAGTGGTCGACCTGGGAGGTCGACCGGAAGTGGTCGTCGACCTGGGTGGTCGACGGGCACGCACTGGTTGCCCGGTCGACCAAGTTACCTGGGTGACGAGGTGCTGCGAAGGCTTGCGAAGGTCGCCCAGGTGGTTTTGGCGAGAACGACCTCGGTGATGGTATCCCGAGGTCGACGTGGTGCATCAGATGCAGTCGTCAGCACGAGGTGGACTTGGTGTGTGCGCTGTGCAGGTGACGAAGCAGTGCACGCCAATCATCTACGAGCACCTGCGAAGCGGGTGCGATGCTGGACTGCAGGAGCAACGCTGGCACGCCGTCGACTTGCGCTGTTGTCTCGCCGTCGACCTGCAGCATTGGCAAGCCGCGTCCCTGCACTGCTGGAGCGCGGTCGACCAAGTCGTGCTGGCACGCGGTCGACCGTGCTGCGCTGGCAGTCGACCTGCTTGCATCCTAGCTCTGATGTAGTCTTGCCTAGCCAACTTCATTGTATCATTGTTGTCAACTTTCTCTAGTGAAACTCTTGCCAAATCTCCTTGTGAACTAGCAAGTAGTGTGTGCACTAGGAAAACGACTAAGGAACCAAGAACGCAGAGATCACACGAGCACACGTGCCTAGCCCGTAGTCTAGCTCCCGTTGTAGTAGTTATCTCCGCATGGTGCGGTGAGCGTGGACGGCACACGACTTTTAGTCTAGTCGACTTAGTTGCACCTTACCCAAGAGGTTCGTAGGCCGGCAGCTGTGCGATCGTCACTATGGTAGTAGCCGTAGGTGACACGGGGGTGGTGGACACCCTGGAGGCACGGCTGGAAAACGCGAGGAGGAAGCACGAGGCCAACGAGTATGGCGACCTGCCTTGGGCGGTCGTCGAGGCTGGCATCCGTTCCCTGTGGGCGACGGAGCACCCTTCTCGGCCTGCGTCTCCTCGACCGGCGAACACCGAGGGCGGCGTCGACGTGGGCGTCAACGCCGGTGGTGGCCAGGTCGGCAGCAGTGCGGGAGGCACGTCGTCGAGGCAGCGTGGTGTGATTCACGCCGACGAAGTCGGCGGCGTTCAAACACGAAGGGTGCGGTCGTCGGCGGTTGCAGGCTCCTCGCGGGCCGACGTCGGAGGTCGACGAAGCGGATTGATGCCGATGGCGGCGTCCAAGGTGACGGCGGGCGGAATTGCAACGAGCTACGGCTACTACAAGTTCACGCCGGACAGGATCTCGGTGACTCCCCCGCTGGTCGGTCGACCAGACATCCTCACCTGGAAGGAGGCCATCGAGCCCCAGCTGGAGATGGCCGGGCTGATCAACTTTGCTCGTGGTACCGTGGAGACGCCGGACGACCCCGACTTGCGTGCGGAGTTCCGCGCCGTGCAGCTGTTGACCTTCACGGTCATCTCGAGGTGCTGCTCGCCGGGCGTGCAGATCGCCTTGAAGTGGTGCAGGGAGTACCTCGACGCCGGCCACCAGGCGTGGCACTTCATCGAGTCGACGTACCAGGTCACCGACGACCTGTTTATCGCCCAGCTGGAAGGGCAGCTGACGCACCTGCGTATGGGCGACGAGGAGACAGCGACCGACTACTGCAACCGTGCCCGGCGAATTCTCGCCACCATCAGGATGGCCGGCGCGCAGTACTCGACGGCGTCGTACGTCACCCACGTAATGCAGGGACTTCGGAGCAGCTACAACCTGTTGAAGCGGCTGTCCATGGCGCCGAGCACGAGGGCGACGCTCAACGAGGACAACCTTACTTAATACATCCTGCAAGACGAGGCGATGCAGGAGGCTGAGCGGTCCCAGGAGCTCTTGGCGCAGGCGAACTTCGTCGCCCCAGCGAAGCAGGGGGGTCGACCGGGGCAGCGCGGACAGTCTGGCGGCGGTGGTAGCAGTGGCTCGAAGTCGGCCAAGGAGGTCGACAAGAAGAAGTCGACCAAGGACAGCGGTCGAGGAGGAGGAGGTCGGCGTCGGGAATGCTGGATCTGCCACAGCCCCGACCACCTCTCCTTTGAGTGCCCCGACCGCAGCGAATCCGACGACGACGACGACGCCAAGGGAGGCCGCGGGAGGTCGGCCAGTCGTCGTCCACGTCGCGGCAACCAGCCGCGCAAGGAGAAGCAGTCGACCACGTCGACCACGGCGAAGGACGCCGACTCCTCTGCTGGCGGCAAGGCGCGGGACGACAAGACGGCGTCGTGCTCGCTGGTCGGCGTCGTGGAGCCGACCATCTCGTTGGCACCGGAGGCCAGCGCGGACTTCCAGGCGATGGCGGCGGCCGTGCAGTCGAACCCGACGGTGGTCCTGCTGGACAGCGGCTGCTCACACCACCTGATGGGGACAAAGGACGCCTTCGTCGACCTGGGGCCGAGCGGCGACTTGAAGCACGTGCGTGGCTTCAATGGGGCGCTGCAAGACGTCCAGGGCCGGGGCACGGTCGCCTTGCAAGGCGAGGCCGGGAAGCAGGTTCTCATCCCCGACGTGCTGTACGTCCCGGGTGTGCGGGCCAACCTGTTGTCGTCCGGCCAGCTGAAGGAGCATGGCGTGAAGTTTCGGGAGGACGGCGACGGGGTGCTGCTCGTCTCGGCAGTAGGAGAGGTGCTTGGTCGGCCGACGTACTCCGGGCGAGTCCTCTGCACCGACCTGCGTCCCTGCTCAACGAGGTCGCCGTCGCCCACGCCGGAGGTTGTGGCCCTGCGGGCGATCGTCTCCAAGACGAAGTCGACGCTGGATAGGATGCATGCTCGGCTTGCGCACGTCGGCATGGACACCATCCGGAGCTCGGCGAAGAACGAGGTCGCCATTGGGCTGGACCTCAAGTCGGCGACGGGCGCCGA